GATTTGGGTAGTCCTTTATATATTCAAATCATTATATTTTTCCTTTATTGATTTCTTTAGCAATAAATATGAGAACGCTGATACATTCAAACAGACCTTGAAGATAATAATCTACAGGTGATGTAGACCAGTGTTGGGTGGAACTCAATGACCAATACTTAAATAAAGTATATTTTAAGTGTCAGACATTACTTTGAAATTACAGTTACTTACAAGATATTTACTATTCCATCAGTCTGTCCCAAGGCAGCTGTGACAATAGTTTACATCTCCATATGGAGCGAATGAATATTGAATAGCTTGTTACTTGCAGCAGCAATAATGATTATATTATAATAAATAGTGTTACAATTTTACACCTCAGAGCTTAAACATTGGTTGCTGGTTGCTGTCTGCTGCATCCAATCCCTTTTCAAAACATGTTTGTTCAAAGTTATGCTATTTTGTTTGTTGGATTTGTTTGTTATATACATGTTTTGAAATAAACATATTTGATTGATAAAAATATATATCTTAGGGTCAAAAGTATCCCATGACCCACTGTGGTATCATCAGACGGTCAGGCCACCGCCCCTGCTGTGTATTGGCGTTCCCCCAACAAATACAATATAGAGCTTAAACAAAGCTTACATTTATCTGCTTTGAGGCTTGTGCTTTGGCTGCTTTTTGAGGTTCATTCAAGGCTATGTGCATATTTTATATCTCATTTTGGCTGTTGTGTTATTGTTTTATTCACAGGGACCAGACTTGCCACTCCTCACTGGGGGTTGCAGATTGACAGTTACCGTCATTGGAGTGATCAGGCTGTTCCTTGGACTGGCTAAGGCTATTTGATGTATATTAACAATAATTGGTGCCACCGCCACAATGATGTTTGGTAAACCTTTGTGCTATTTTCCACACGGATGCCCATGAGGAATTTTGCCCGAGTGGCTGTTTTTGCTCCTTAAAGAGGCCTTCTTCAGATTCATGACAGATGGAAAGAGCCGCTGTCTTCGTGGGATCTGAGATGTGCCAACCTAATCATTGTCCCCTCTGAGAACATACAGTTGTTTTCATTGTGCTGCTGTCTCATCAGATAAGAAAGAGGAATGCATTTATGTATCTGGCACAATATTTGTTACATTAATGTATGGCCTAGATTCAAGATTTCACTGGCTATACAGTATGGCCTTGAGCTAAACTGTATAAGTGTACAGTGAATATGTATAATGTACATTTCAATGACATATTATCTGTGAGGTTGAAAAACGCAATGTCAAATATCAACTTTTGGTTATGTCAATATCTGAATCCAAACCATTGCAATGTGGTTTACAGAGCTAAAGTTGAAATACTTGTTGGTGTTTTTGGCTCTGAGCACTGAGGTCCCAAGTTCCAGGATCTTGCCGTGACTCCAGCAGGTTCGGAGTGTGCCAGATTCTACAAGTGAATGAGAGGCAGATGTGTGGTGACAGCACTATGCTCATTAGTCTGAATCAGTGTCAGACTGTGACAACTTCAGGCGTCTCATCATACGTGTGCGCTGCATTCATCCAGGACCAGACTCAATCAGAGTCAAGCCATTTACAACAATTACAACTGCCTTGCTATCCTGCTTATACAACCAATGCAATGCAACAATGCAATCCAACAATAGTTCATTAGCGGCTATTCACTTCATGTTCTTGCCCCAGGAATATTTAAAGTCAAATTTTATATTATGAATTCAATTTGAAGTGTCTGCTCACTGGTCAAACCCCTGTGTATACCCAGCTGTGTGGTCATCTCCTGCCCCAGAGGCCTATAGTGTTGAACTGAAATTGTGATATCTATTTCAGTCTAGTGGAGAGCAGGCAGCCTCCACTGTGGCTCCAGAGAATTGTGCGTCCAATCCTCACACAGATTGACTTTATGCTCATATGCTTCAGCATCTTCAGTGTCCAAACGCTTTAGCATCTGATGGGTCGCTCTAAGCCATTTAAGCCATTTGGCAATTATAGATGTGTGGCTGCTGGACACAGAAACAGATGTGCTTTGATCTATTTGCGGTGGTTGGTGGGAGGGGGGGGTCCGAACAGCTAACTTGTAAGATGGGTCAGAGCAAGCACCTCTGACATCTTTTGTCTTTCAGTTCACTTCACAGGAACATTTTTACTCATTTTCCCCTGATGTATGGACATCCGTTAGTCTGATACAGCTTTGGCCGCTTCTACAAAACACAATAAAAAAAGTAAAAGTATAATTTTTTCAATCAATAATCAACAAAGAAACTAAACATGTTTATTGTAATGATACGTTTTCAAATTGTCTCAACTATGATAAGGAAAAGAGTTATTGAATTATGGTTTCACGCCAGAAGCATGTGCCGAGGTGTGAGCTTGCTGAATGGAAATTCTACCTCTGTTGTTGCACTATATAAAATACAACCTGCCCCATCTGGTTAGGCACCAAACTCACCAAGGGGCAAAATAGTTAATGTTGGGCCACATTTCTAACGCCTTGTCTTCCAGTTTTCCTTCAGCTTTGACTGCTCTGGGTAGTGAAAAATGGAAAACAAATGCTCTGTTGACAGCTTTCTTATGCCCAAGGTGTGTGCGTATTTATATCATAAAGGTGCCAACACATCAGCTTTTACAGGCTGACCAGTGCTGGGGGGAACGCTGGAGACAACTGAGGGAGGGGTGTTCTCCAGCTCATTGTAGTAATTATGAGCTTGAATAGGCCTTGATAAGTCTGTGACAAATTAGCTTACAACCCAGTCCGCACTGGTGTGAAATTCGTATTCAGTCAATGAATATACAATCAGAGAGGGACATCTACAAACACGGTCCTTAGAGCGCACTGCAGGTGCATGTTGGATGAAGCACTAGATAATAGTCATTTGATTAGGAAATTATTCTAAAAAACATATAATGTACAGAGCACTCTAACATTGTGGTGTTCAATTGTCACTAGCTTAGCTCAAGTTTAATTTCAATTCATTCATGCATGAGCTATCCTGTATCATCTTGAATCGAGGCTGCAGTGCTAAAATATATAACAATAATAAATATAAAATAGATAAAACTTATAGATCCTTCAATTTTGGAAAAGTAAATTGATGGCCATTTTATTTATTTTTTATAAATTAGTCCTGTTTATTTACAAAATGTAAAACTGTGATGGAGATGCAATCTGATTCTACTAAATTACCCCACTAAGCATGTTCTGCCATTTGTAAAGCATGGAAGCTCTCTGCAATGAATAAAACAATGCAAACGCTGTGCTGCTGTGATGTTGTACAGCTGTCTGCCCCTTGGACCATGGTCCTTCCACAGCCCTCAACCTGATACGACCGTCTTTCAAACTCAGTGCCTAAAGAGGACTAAAGGAGAAATTACTATACTGTGAAAAACTTTTTGATATTTTGTTTAAAGGTTGTAGATGTTGTTACTTACTAAATGTAAGTGTAACCATTTTTATAACATAAATAGTGCTGTGTTTACGCAGCAGGCCATCATGTTGAATATTGAAGTTAAACAAACCAAATCTAACCAGGATCGTTCCACTGGGATGTGAAGATTTCTTTTTCCAAACCAAAACACCTGGAGCATAATCATATGCAGACACAAGGAGAACATGCAAACTCCACATTGCTAGCTACTGTGCCGCCATGTGGTCGTAGGAGTATAAAGAATAGAGATTTGTACTGTACATATAGTATGAGCATTTCAAAACTCAGGACACTACTATAGCTTCAAATAGTAAAAGGCCACACAAGAAATGTGATTCATAATTTTTCTGGTTTTGATTATATAATAAACAGGCCGTCTCCTGAGATAATTATGATTCTTGAGGGGATAAATCACGGATGCTGTGTAGGGACCTGCCAATTAATTCAGTTAAATACACTGAGCAATAGATATCAGCGAGAATTGAGGAGGAAACAAATACTACCAGTGGCAGTCTATGGAACCACCTCTGTCATTTTCTAGGGTCTGACTGCTTCCAAATCTGTCCATCTCAAACTGTTCCACTGTATGGACATTTGGATTTTTTGTTCAGATTGCTGGTCCTCATAATTGCAGGGTCACTAACTTTGGCTGCTGTGTGCTGTTCTTTGGCTCGGAAAACGAATGCCTTCTGACACAAGCAGCTCCATCAGGCCAACCCGCATCATTCTAGTAATCCCGTCACCAAACTGCGGTTGCATGAAGGCCCTCAGTCGGAAACACCTTTTTAACCCAGTGCTAAAAAAGGTCAAAAATAATGAATCATTATGTTATATATGCATGAATTATCAATTCTGGCTAAGGAAATACAACAGAAAGCAGAAAGTGGTTACAAATAGGGTTTTAAGTGGCATCACCAATTGTAATTTTAGGCCAATATCATCGCTCTATTACCAGATCTTATATATTACTTGTATGCGTAATAGAGAATCTGTGCACACGCATGTCCTCTGGAAGGCGCTATAGGTCCTTGTCGACCAAGTCAGTAAGGCCATTCGGACCATGATCTAACTTACTATCTGTTTATTTTCACCATATTGTCATTCATCATTTATCCTTCCTCATATATTAAGATATATTTATTGAATACAGAAACTCAAACTGTATTTATAGCTATCTATTCAACACCACAAACGTCTTGCACAATTTGTATGCTCCCTAAAGGATCCCCTATTGTTTGTTTATGTAAGTTTCTTTTTTTTTTTCCTATGATGCTATCTAGCCTTTTACAGTCATTGTTTTACAGGCACGTCACTGAATTGTTGCTTAACCTGTGCAGTGACCCTGTCAGGAGATATCTACCTCCTTCCATCTGACACTCTGACGACTACAGTAGGTAGTTTGTGGGCATCATTTTTCTATTCATGAACGAAGCTCCAGCCGCTCTGAGGAAAGTCCATAGAGCTTGTATGAGGATGGAGATAAAAGTGGGCACCAGTGCTTACTCATCTGTTAAAAGCATCGTGATCTGCAAAGTTTGTACGAGAGGGTTTTTGACGGTGCCCTGCTGCTCTGTCAGTGCAGCACATGCTTCAGGCACTGGCATCCCCTATTGCCTTCCAGGTCATTGGCCAGGCCCAGCGGGGGGTCAGCCTCTCGCCCCATGACACGTCCCTGGTTCACAGCTGGATCTGTAACAAGGTATCATAGCAAATGAATCGGTAAAACATCACTGGTTTGAAGCCCATGGAAAAATTGGCATGATATGATTTGTACTATGGACTGCAGGCACGAGGAGTGGGCTGGACCCCCTTCACAACCACGGCTCAGTCTGAGCTCAGAACAAGTGCCCTGGGGGGGAATAGCTCTCGCATAATGTAAAGAGGCAATAATTAAACATCTTGTGATTTACTATGTAGGCTAAAGGTGTTGCTCTCTTGACATGTGAGCCTCCTGACATAATGTCCTATTGTGAAATTACTACTGCATCTTATCTCTTATTACATTAGACACGTACTGGGGAAATGTCGGATTAAGGTGTGATAGCAATGCCGTTTATGTGGGACAAAGCAGAACATCGGTAATTGAGGCATATTTACAGATTATTTCCAATAACTATGAATATCATTTAGCTGCCAAATTAGCAGAATGACTACATGAGCCCCTTAATCCAGGACCATTTCTTTACAGTGCCTGCATGGCTTCCCTACATTTTTCTTATATTTAATTCTATTGATTGATTGATTGATTGTGTCCTCTCTTGTGAAAGTTTCAGGGCTCCAATGTTTTTTGTTTTTTTTTTTACATCAAATCTCAGTTCATCATTAATTCTTAAAGCACACCACTGCATTAATGTTGTATCAATTATTGCACATCAAAATAACGACAGCCGCAGATAGCTCCAACAAAATCATGTATCGACATTTAGCACACTTCCCTGTTCATTTTTAAAGTGTGCCATCCACTTACATCATACTGCATTATGCAATAAAGTTAGTTTGTGTGAGTGTATGATCCTTCGCCCTGGTGTTGAGAGTACAGTTGCTTGGGAGCCAGAGTTCTGGTGTGATGGATGCAAAGAATAGACAAACACAAGCTTCCTCTAAAACCACAATGGAGACCTTGGATCTAAATGTCATGGTTTCATAACGGATACACTGACATTTGTGTGATGGGATTTAGCCATGGGTTAATATAGCCGTTGCTGGCACATTGCATTGATGTCCATCTCTCTTGCGCTGTGAAGTCTATCTCACCTTTTTTTTTGGCGCCCTCAAAGAAGTTTCCTTCAAATGGTTTGTATTGGATTCAACGCTGGTTAAAGCCAATTATTTTGCGAGGGAAAAAAAACTGTTTGATATGTAGGTTTGCTTCATACGATGCTAATGTGCCTCAGGAGCTGTTCAGATCATTGGTTTTTGGTGAGTGTGAAGCTGAACTGGGGACTGTAGCGAGAAGGCAGGCAATCAGCATTAAAATCAGAGCCATGTAAATCTAATCAATTATACAGTTTTTCAGATAAAATGTTGGTAAATCAAAACACATTTTCCAAAAGTCACAGTATAATGAGAAATTTAAATTGGAAACAGAAAGCATTTGTTTATTATAAATGCCAAGGAGGGATGGTGACTCGCCATCCATAAATTTCCTTTCATATTGCTTTTATCTATGACTACAGCTTTGGCACTGGTTCAAGATTTTAATGAACCCAGACTTCTGAGGCTTCAGGGCCCACTGATGCATTGTCCATTTGTATCAGGGTGTTCAAACTGGGGACAAAGAAAAATGCTATTGTCTTCGCTATATGAAGATTGATTGATGATAGAAGCAGACTTCACAAAAACAACATATTTTTGTATATTGTATTAACTGTCTAACTGGGGAGGGGTGGATGGTCATGTATGTCTGTGACCAAAGGGTCGAAAGAAAAAAAAAGAAAAAAGGGAGGAAAAAAAGAGAGATAATCTAAGCTGCAAAAGGCAGACAATCCTCCTGCTCTGGCGCGACCTGGTCTTGGCTCCTTTCTTGGTCGCAGAGCTTCCTAGGGGAGATCAGAATGGAAGTTGAGCATCTTGCTGTGATCCAAAGAAAGTGTGCCAAATGCTATCAAAACTGGATTAGTAAACAACGATTGTGTTCGATGAACCAAAGGGGGAGGGAACAGAGTAGTTTCCAAGTAACATGGAATTGGAATTTTCAAACCCTGTATAAAAAAAATAAAAAATAACCCAAATAGATGTGTATTAATGATTATTGAGGATGATAAATATAATAATAAACATAGTAAGAACTAAAACAACACTGTAACTTTATGGAGCTGAAATTGCATGGATATAAAATAGTGAAATATTAGAGAGAGACATCATTCTCTCAAAGACATAGACCGAGAAAATCAACATGGAGAAGCTGTCGACAATAAATACAGTGTTGCATCACAAGTTACAGAACAGTTGGAATGAGGAGCACACAACACAAGATAAGTGAGCAATAACCATACTAATTAAGATAAAACAAAATCTCTAACTCTAGCATCAAAGAAACAAGTATACAATCTCTGTCTTGAACATAATAAAGAAGTATAACAAAAATTGTCTTGCAAACAGGCTTGCATACAATACATGCAAGCCCGCTCATAGTGATGACAAATCCTATATAGGTCAACATTTTTCAGTGCAATATATATTCAAATGTTCAAAAAAATATGATTTAAAATTGCCTGTTTTTTTGTAGTGTCTGTGTGTTATTCATTGTATTTTGGATTCAAAGCTGATCGATTTAGGTCTACTAATATTACATATTCAGTGTCTCAGTTAAATATAGTGTTGATGTAACTGTGCATCCCAATGTCTCTAAAGCTGACATTTAGAGCAAGTCCCCCGCTGACTTAATCATGGAAAATATTGCGTGTCAGTGTGCTGCACTAGGACCTGGCTGATGGTAGTGGTAGTAATTCACCACTGCTGTGAGAGGGAACTCCTGGGGTGACATGCACTCCCTTTTATACCTCCCTGTCCTCTTCTGTAGTAAGGTTCAGCCTGCCTCTGTTCCTGCACTCAGAGAAATGACACTATCTGTGATCATTAAGCACAAATTAAATGTAACCTTTTCATATACATCCACGTTTCAAGAAAAAACATATCTAAACACTTACCACACTGTTGATGGCCAATGTTTTGCTTGTAATCCTCCCATGTGCTTCATTCAGGTTAGATCCCGCCCTGTTTCCTACTACAGCCAATAGCGAGCGCATTCTTCTTCCGGGAGAACTCCGTTGCAGCCAATCACAGCTCTGCGGGTTGTAGGAAATATGGCGACGCACGTTATCAGGACTGTCAAAGCACTTCTTCCACAGTGAGTCTCACATTGTTGTTATCTAATGCGTTATTTCTGCACAAAGGGCGTCTCTAATGTGATGCATAGGGTCCAACGCTACAGTGCTAACATTTGTCTGTGTGTCGATGCTATTGCTAACTGTCACGTGGGAGCTGACAGGAGCAAGGCAATGTCAACATCGCAAGGAAAAGTGTAAATAAATAGTTTGGGGATCATTTCACCTACAAAAACAGTAGATTTAATCAGAAATAAACCTAACCATGCATGGTGAATAGTATCATTACGGGTTAAATGTGCTTTGCTGCTGTGTTTACAAGATTCACCCAAAAAATATTGCTTTGCTACTTTCTCTGTGCTCCTGTGTGTCCATTTTGCCTTTTTGCTGGTTGATGATTTACATTTTCTTTGCCATATTTAGGATTTTTTTGTTATTTGTCGCGATGTGATTGATACAGATACTGTGTTTGTGTTTGAGGTTTGAACGAGTAATAACTGCTTTCCTAATTAAGCCAAAATAACAAGCATCTGCTGTGTTTTGATGGATGAAACCTTGTTTAAACTTTAAGAGATATTTTCAAGATGTAACTAGTTATTGAATTATGGCACTCATTATTGAATCAAATACCAATAATCTTATCCAAAGCCTTCGAAAAGCTCTTTTTGTAGCAGCCTTCTTCAATGGCCTGCTCAAGCCCAATAATATAATAATAATATTCCTAATAGTTTGTTAATTGGTTGCTTAGTTTATTTTGCCATTTGCAGTTAAACACCTCATGGGAATGTGCACCATAGACACCATCACCTCCAAATCAATATAAAAGACAAATAAAAAACAACAATAAAAACTATCTGCCAAGAGTACATTTAACATTTGGTATCAGGTCGTCCATGTATACCTGTCACAGAAGTTTCTATATATCCCATTATCAAACCATATAATTCATTTTTATTGTCTGTGGATTTCCTTTGAATAACTGAGATGTATTGCCATCTCCATCTTCTTTTTAATATAGCAACATTTTAGCTGTACAGGGTTGAATAAGTCCATTATTATTAACTTAAAATGTAAGAAAATAAAATGATATTTCACTCCTCTCTGCTGCTTGATTCTGTTCATATAATTTTCTTATAGTACTAATACATACATCCAAAGCCCCCACTTTAAGTATTACTTAAAACCCTAACTTCCAATTACTTATTTTTAATGGCATCTTCACAATGTAAACTTTCCATTGTTCTAACTATAGTTGCAACAGTTAACACGTGTACTAGGAATGTGACAAGAACTTGATAATAACTTTTGACAGTTTGAGTGTCACTTGTAGAAAAAAAAAAAGCGTGCTCAATATTGTGTCTATGCGAGTCAACAACACTGTGACATGTGGCTCTAATTCAAGACACATGCATTTCCAGAGGCACAAAGCTGATGATCCTGCCAAAGAGGAGTGTGAACTGTCACGCCACACACTTGAGTCCAATTGTGACTAAAAAATCACTATTTACTATACCGTGGTTTAGATATTAGCAAAGCATTACTTCATGATCATGGGCTATTTGTAGAGTTGTTTCTATACTTTATGTTGCTCATTCACTGGTTGTAGAGGAATTTATAGACGGCCTTAGCCTGTGCGTTGGCCACTGCAGAAGGCTGCTCTTTGTCACAAACACCCTCACGTCAAAGATTCAACAGCATCCTGGAGGAAGCATTGAGTGGCGCTATGAAGTCGACAAGTGATGAAAGTAGCCTAGAGGTTGTCAATTAAGCGAGCCAAGGCCTGGACCTTATAAGTTAATGGGCAGTTTCCCCTCTGAGGGCCTGCAAGGGCTTTATAGCACAGCTTATAAAAACCCCAAGTGTAATGCACCCCTATAACGTTTTCAATTAACAGAAAGGGCATTACACAGCGCAGACACTTGGCAGTCATGCAAGAATGTTAATAAAGTGACATTTGGCATAATTTGGAATGAGAATTTTCAATTGCTCCAGTTGTTTTAAAGCAGGAGCTACTGTGCAGAATTTGATTTTGATGGCACTTCATGCTGACTAGAAGCATTACAGACTTCCTGGTGTCTTCCCATTACCAGTTCTATTCAGATGGAGTTGTGTGGATGCACGCCCTCAAGTTACAAGCCCAGCGTTTTCAGTTGTAAAACAGATCAGAAACAAGACAAGGTAGTGTTGTAATATTTATTTGTAACACTCTAGTTAATTTATAGATGGCATAAATCTAAATGAATACTCTACAGTCAATTAAGTAGACACTTAAGGGCTTTGTTCTAATTCATTTTGATTGCATTTCGTAAAGTTGTTTATTGACTCTGAAAATCTTTTGAAGCCGTCTTTTGGTTCAAGGAGTAAGTTTATATAATGCATTTAAATGAATAAACGCATAAGCAAGCCGCCATATTAATAAAATGTATTATGACCATTATTATTATTACTCTCCAATAAATATGATTTATCTTTGTTTTCAAAATCGAATTAGGATAAAGATGCAAACCATTATGTAATATTCCACAACCATACATAATTTTAATGTTTTAAATTTAGACAAATCTATACATTTTTAGGTTGCAGTTTTATATATTGTGCGGGTACGGCCCACTTTCTACTGGCAACCTTTTCTCTGCCTGTTCCTCATCTGGTGTCTTCTTCAACTGATCTCAAGCTTCAAGTTGGAAAATAAATGAGTGTTGAATAAACAGCCCTGTGTTGACACCTCATTTCCCCATTGATTGGTTGCTGAGGTGTGTGGCCATAATCCAATAAAGCAAGAAAACAACCATGGCCACTATGTAACAAAATCTATGTCATGGGATTGTCAGGCTTTCCTAATACTCAACGTTCATTGTATTTTTTTCGGTGAGAGGTCTGCTTTTTCATTTATAATGTATATCCTACACATTATAAGCTTCAGAATCCGTCCCTTCATAACGCTATTTTCATTCATCCATTTCACTTTGTTTTTAAAATTTGCTACAGAAGATTAAGATAGCACATGTTTCAATGAGAAAACACAAATAAAGGGGTCCAGTCTATGGGGGCCAGCTGAGTAAACGAGGTGGGATGGAGAAAAGACAAGAAAAGCCTATACACTTGTCTTACAGATGACCAAGGTGACTCCATACGGTCAGCAGATGGACACGTCACTCTGTATCCCCAGAGGAGTCAAAAAGAAAATAACCAAAACAAGTGTCTTTGCACCGTAGCCCGGGCCTTTGATCAGCTGCACTTTTCTGCCTTAGGAGATGAGTTCTGAGGAGCCTACAGCGCACATGGAATTGCATCTGTATAAACATGGCCTGCTGGAATGTGTGAACAATTCAACAAAAGAATTCTGTTCTCCAAAACTTTGCTCACAGTGCTTTGCCGTTCAAGCATGGTGGTCAGATTCAGAGAGAAGTCTTTTAGAGAAGTTGGCAACTCTCCATATCCCAATGTTATTTATGTGTACGTATTTTGTTGCTGCTTGGAAGTCAGTTGAACCTGTATTCAGGGTGTCTTTTTTCCATGTGAGTCTTCTCACGGCATAGAGGTTGGCCCATTGCCATGGTGATGGTTTGCTTGCTTGGTTGATGAGGTGTAATTTACTCAGCATTTCCTGTCTGATACACTGTGCCACAAAGATTATTAGACCCACTTTTATAGTGCTTTGTTAAAATAAAACACGTCAGCACATTATGTGTGCGTATGTGTGTGTATTTATACTGTGTTGGCTTGTTTGAGGAGGCATTCTGTATTTTCTGTACCTGAAGGTGTAGGCGCTTATACAGCACAAGCTGCAACTCCCTGAGGAACCTCTAGGTGTCTGTATTGATACTATGGTTGCTATTGTGGCTGTTGGGGTTACATTTACACATTCTTTATGTGCCCACAGTATTTCCAAAATACAAATGTTCAATGTGAGTAATTGGACAGAAAAAAAAAACCCTTTTTCTTTTTCCAGCAAATAGAATTTATGCTGCATGAATAAATGTTATTATTAAAACAATTCAACATGATGATCCTACCTGTGTTAATAAAATAAGTGCAGAGCTTCCAGAAAGTGGATTTAACGTGAAAGTTACATTCATATTTTAAGAGCTTTGGCTTAAACATCGAACATCATTTTGAAACATATAACTTGAGTTTCATGACTGGCATCAGTTTGCAGACAGGCTGCCTCCAGTGAGCGTTGCTCTTCATTAGAACCAGGTTTAGGTGCTACCACACACATTCAAAGAGCAGGCCCATCCTCAGCATCAAAGGAGCCTCATCCATGGGGTCGACTGGGTGTCTATCTCCCCATCAGCGTCTGCTAATGACCCATGCCCAACACGCTTTTCTGACATTGATGCTCCACTTCTTTCCTTTCTCTTATTGACAATTTCTGCCACATTAGCTAACCCCTCTATGGTGTTGGTAGTATTTGTTTGGCTGCTGGGTTTTGTTTGTTTATTGTTTCCAGATGGCAGACGCAGACTTCATTTGTGTGGCTTTCAAGTTCCCAGAGAGCTTTTTACTGCCTTGGCTCAAGCGCTTATCCTGTTTCCTCTAGCCAGGCTTTATGATGGGCCCTTTATAATGTAGCAACTGGAAGCAACTGTCAGTGCTCGTCTACGCAAAATGTATGGTCACATGCAAAATATCGTTTTTTCCATCTTATTGTGACAAATCACTCTCTTTCTCTTTTCATCTATGATGTAACTATCATCTAGTGTTCCATTGAATGCTGGGAAATTGTGTTGTTCTAAAGTGTTGCAGATTTTTCAAAAAAATACAAATATTGTTTTAATAAATTTAAGATACCCCTTAAAAGTAGTCTGGAGAATTGCTAAATCTGTGCTGGAAGCTGTGATAGTGTATTTGTCTAATTGTAATCTAAATGTATATGTATGTATACACATAACAGAACATTAAACATTTGATATGCTGATATATTGTTAATGTGGTCTTGTGTGTTTACAGTGGTGATGCTGGTTTTAGGACCTTGCTGAGTGTAGTCTGGGCATCATTAGGCTCTGTGACATCACTTATT